GGGGGAGCGGGCAGCGGCTCTGCTGTGTCCCTACAGCTGCTAGGGGGAGGGAAGGCCAGGGGGGGCTCCGCACGCTGCCCCTTCCACAATCTCCGGCTCCGTAGCTCCCATTGGTGGGGAACTGTAGCCAATGAAAGCTGCGGGGGGCGGCACCTCTTGGCGGAGGCAGCACACAGAGGCCCCCGGCCCCTCCACCTAGGAGCTGCAGGGACATGCCGGCCGCTTCCGAGGAGTCTCTCTCCCTCTCCCCCCCAAGGTAAGTGTCACCCCGCACCCCAACCCCCTGCCCCAGTCCTGAGCCCCCTTCTACTCCCAAACTGCCCCAGCAGCAGCCGGTGCAGCTGGCTCAGGAGCTGCCTGATCTGCTTGGGCAGCCCCAGAGCCAGCCGCATCGGCAGCTGCATAAGTCATGACTTCAGTGACAGACATGCAGCCTTAACTATAATACATTTATAAATGTGTTGGGGTATAGCTATCCAAAGCCTGGGACCATCTGAACCTTTGTGAAATTGTCTCAACCAGGTGTTAAACTCCCACTGGTTTGTGACTGGGTCCTCATTACTGAACTTATGCTAACTATTTGGAAATTGCTATACCTTACTAGATACAACAGGAGTGGCTATATTGAGATCACCTTCTGTAAAGTGGCTCTGCACAACAAAATGAGAAAAGCACTGAATAAGTGGTCTCTAATATGTTCAGTTCTCCCATTAACTGTTTAATTACAATTACAAATTAACCCTCCTTATAAATGTTTTTATTCCCCCCTCTTAGGACTTAATTTGCAAAGAGCCCTATCTATAAGATGAAGTTGTGATCTTAGGGCCACTCTACACTACAGATGGGATCATGTCCAGTGAATCGGTGTTTTGATGCACCCATCAGACATGGTTTCAGTTAATACACTTTAGCACAACCATACTCCCGTGGTGTTTGCCTGTCCACATGACCAAGATGCAAAAAGTGTTTGCAGCAGTGTATTTTAGGAAAATCTAGTCAGCTATCCCATATCGCCTCAGATGCTAGAACCAGGCGATAGGATTATAGATGATTTTCAAGATCATTCTGAACCACATGGTACATAGGGTTCTGGAAATGTTGTACTAATCCAGATTCCACTAATAGTGCAGTGCCTATTTGGTTGTTCTCTGCCCCCTACATAACACCACTGTGTTCTACAACCTCAAATCTTTCTATTCTGTGAATATCTGGCATTGAGCATACCAATATTGTTTAAATGAGTTAACATAGGCTGGACTGGCAAATTCCATGATGCCAGAATTTTCAAGAATTCCAGTGAAAAGGAAACTTTCCTCCCCTCATATCAGGGAATTCAATGCAATAGCAAAGTGGGGACAGTGTGATAGAATGACCAGAGTGCTCCTTGTAACACATCATGCAATCCACCTGGGATTTACTACCCCAAAGAGAATCTAGGAACTAGCAGGACTGGCCAGCTCTGTTACACAGATCTACTCCCATCTCCAAAGTCATATTAGAATGTGGTTCCAGCTCAACAATCTTGCTACATCCCTGTTCAACAGTGGGGTTGTAATATTGTACACCTGCAATTAGGAACTGTGTGTCTGGAAATGAACCATGCATCAAGATAACCAAGAGAAAACCTGTTTACAAACTTGGTAAAATTTTATAGTGTATATAAATACTTAGTCTAATTCCTAGTGGGAAAGTGTATAGACGTCACCAAAACCAATAGACAAATAGCCAATCTTAGGGCTGATATAGACTGAAAAGTTACATTGGCATAATTATGTCTCTCAAGAGTGTGAAAAATCCACACTCTGAGACGGATGGGCAAACTCTTTGGCCTGAGGGCCACATCTGGGTATGGAAATTGTATGGCGGGCCATGAATGCTCATGGAATTGGGGTTTGGGGTGCAGGAGGGGGCTGAGGGCAGATCAGAGGGGTTTGGAAAATGGGAAGGGGCTCTGGGCTGGGGCAGAAGGATTTGGAGTGCGGGAGGGGGCTCCGGGCTAGAGCAGAGGGGTTGGGGTGCGGGTGGGAGTGGGTGAGAGCTCCAGCTGGGGGTGTGGGCTCTGGGGTGGTGCTGGGGATGAGGGGCTTGGGGTGCAGGAGGAGGCTCCAGGCTGGGACCGAGAGGTTCAGCGGGCGGGAGGGGGATCAGGGCTGGGGCAGGGGGTTGGGGCAGAGGAGGAGGTATGGGATGCAAGCTCCAGGCAGCGCTTACCTCAAGCAGCTCCCGGAAGCAGCAGCATATCCCACCGCTGGCTCCTATGCAGAGGTGTGGCGCCAGCCAGGTGGCTCTGTGCACTGCCCCGTCCACAAGTGGAGCCCCTGCCGCTCCCATTGGGCGCAGTTCCCAGCCAATGGGAGCTGCAGAGCCGGCACTCGGGGTGGTGGCAGCGTGTGGAGCCCCCTGCTGCCCCTACATGTAGGAACCAGAGGGGGAACATACCACTGCTTCTGGGAGCCGCACGTTCAACCCATCAGGCCTTTTAATCTGGCCAGCAAGCCCCTGACCCCGCTCCCCACCCTTGCTCTGAGAGATGTAATTAAGCTGACCTAACCCCTGGTGTAGACAGCGCTAGGTCAATGGAAGAATTCTGTCAATCAAGCTACCGCCTTCTGTGGAGGTGGATTACCTACAGCGATGGAAGAACCCCACCCGTCTCTGTAGTAAGTGTTTACACTGAAGTGCTGCAGCTGTGCCACTGTAGCATTTAAAGTGTAGTGTGGCAAGGCACCTCCTTCCTCTTGCCAGACTTAGCACTTCTCCCTCTGCAATGACCTGTGGTAACCCCTTCTCAGTTAGTAGGGAAGAGGGCCTTTAACATTCTGGGGCTAATATAGCACCCTCTTGCAGTCATACAGCCTGACTTTCACAGTAGACAACATAGCTTTATTGAAAATCTCAAAGATGCCATGGATTTAATCGTTATGGAGACTAAAATTTACTCCTAGCACAGCCATTTCTTACAGTTTGTGCAATGAGACAAATTCAGCGTGATTCATATTGCATCAACAACTGATTATGAGTCAAAATGTCATCACACCATGAACCCACGCTTCCACATGACGTTTTCCAGACCCTGTCAGAAAGATTATTGTACCCATCAATGTTTCACAAGCAGATGCAGGATCATAAAGGATAGAAGTGATCCTAGGAAACTGGCATAAATGTCAGCCAAGGAATAGTCATATCAGATTCTTACATACAATACTGGATTTATAATGGCCCCAATGGCGCCGGGCCCACGGTCAAAAGGGGGCCTGGCGCGCTCTCCTCCGTGCCCCCACTCTCTCCTGTGGGGTCAGAGCTTGACACTGCGGGTTGCTGCGGCTCGATGGCAGCCTCTGCCGGCAGCCTAGCTCCTGCCCCGCCCCTTTCCCCAGCATGCTACATTTCCTCCCCCCCCGGCCAATCAGCTTCTAGCCGGCAGGAGGGGGGAGGAGGGAGCCGCAAGCAGTGCGGCTCCCGGGGGGGAGGAGGAGAATAAGAGGCGGGGATGAGGCCTTGGGGAAGGGGCTAGAATTGGGGCATACCCCCTGCGTGAGCACCCCCACGACCCCAGCCCACCCCCTCAGCCCCCTGAGCCCCTGGCCCTGCCCTGACCCTGCACTCCCCTCACACCTCCTCAG